AACATGTTTAATCACATGAACCTGTGGAAAAGGCCTGAGCGAAACAATGTCTTCAGCAAGTCTCTTAAAGTGTCCTGAAGTGTTTATTATTCTTAAGTCAGCCATTAAAATAAGATCGAAATACTATTTATGGCAGCAGTTATAAATAACCGATTAGCAAAATGCAGTAGCGTTTTTCAAATTTAATAAGGATACATGTGTTCCAAATTCATAAATAGTCTTAATTCAAGGATATCATTGTCTACAACTTTGTACGAAGAGTGTAACGTTTAATCAGGAGCGCAGCTTTACCTCGTGAGGTTGTGATTGTCTTCTTTTCAGCATTTGAATGTTGACTGAACTGACTTTGAGTCTTCTGTGTTTATCTTGCAGCCAAATATCCAAAAATCAAAACGCTGATGGGTCCTGACCCGAGGTTGAAGTGGATCGTGTGCATGATGGTGGTGATACAGTTTGTAGCTTTCTACCTGGTCAAGGACTTGGACTGGAAATGGGTTCTGTTTTGGACTTATGCATTTGGCAGTTGCATCAACCACTCAATGACCCTTGCTATTCACGAGATCTCCCACAACACAGCATTTGGAAATAACAAAGCCATGTGGAACCGCTACTTTGCCATCTTCGCCAACCTGCCGATCGGCCTGCCCTACTCTGCGTCTTTCAAACGCTATCACCTGGATCATCATCGCTACCTGGGCGGAGATGGGATTGATGTCGACATCCCCACTGATTTTGAAGGCTGGTTTTTCTGCACTCGCTTTCGCAAGTTTATCTGGATTATTCTGCAGCCACTTTTCTATGCTATACGGCCCCTTTGCATTAACCCTAAACCCATCACTCAGCTTGAGATGACCAATGTGGCTTTCCAGGTCACCTTTAATGTTCTGCTCTACTGGCTGTGGGGGGCTAAGCCTGTGGTCTACATGTTGGCTGGCTCCATGCTGGGAATGGGCTTGCATCCAATTTCTGGCCACTTCATAGCTGAGCACTACATGTTCCTGAAGGGTCACGAGACCTACTCTTATTATGGCTCTCTCAATCTGCTCACCTTCAATGTGGGTTACCACAATGAGCACCATGACTTCCCCAGCATCCCAGGACGCAGGCTGCCCATGGTGAGTAAAGTTCAGAGAGTGCAGGTTGTTACCCACACATTCTGCCCACTGGAGTTAGTTCCCTGCTAATGTCACATTGTTGTGTACACATGCAAAGTCAACAGATGGTTTAGGG